AAACGTCAAACCAATTTCTGTAAACCACAAAGCGTGCTTGTTATTTTCATTATCCAATCTGCAATTATAAATAATAAGTCAACTGTATTTAACCAATTTAACGTTATAAATTGGTTACAATACTTTATAGAGACAACCTATTTTTTACTATATTTGCGCTGGTTTTAATTAAAAAACACTGCTCATAACGGCTGCTTGTAGTAATATTTATAAAATTTAGGTAACCTTAAAATAACTATTAAAAAAAATAGTTATTACCCAAGACTTAAACTGTTTTTTTAAATACAAGATAGTCTAATAGAAAAATAATATCCTATTGTGAGACATTCTCACTTCAAATTTCATTATTTTAATGAACTAGTTCAGCCGTTCAAACCAATAAAAAACAGATAAGATACCAATTCGAATATTAGTATGGATCTATACATACAATGCAATCTATAGATATAATATATATGTATTATTATACTTTGATCAACCCCTATAAAATCCGCTGATGATAATCGTCCATTAAGAGCATTATCCTTAATAATTACAAGAAGTTAAATATCGTGAAAAAACTCGGTGACGTGACGACATGACGGGTAAATGGAATTATCTCCTAATGAGTGGGGTGAGTGACCCACGGAGGAGTGAATTTTGCAACCACAGTAGTCGCTGTCAAGTTCCTGCTAACTCCCTTAGGGTTGCTTGTTGGGGTAACGGCGCGAATAACATTTGTTGAAGATCCAAATAAGTATACATAATTAGACTTTGCCTTTCTTATATTGACGTCAATTGTATGTGTTAGTTTTTTTATTATAATATACACTTTAACAGTTTTTTTTTTCTTTTATGTATGTATTACATATACATACATAAATACATATATTTTGTAGATACTGGACTGCAAGAAACAATGGAAATTTCGTAAATGTATACATACATTGTTTTGATTTTTCATAATGAACAATACATAAAATGAAATATTGCTAATTACTAACACAATGACATGTACCTATATCAAAGTACTTCTCTATGATATTTATTTTTTATAGTTTATTGCACAAATTACAGTAAAAACTTGATTAATTACGACGGAAAACATCACAAGAATTAAATTTGCAAAAAAAAAAAGGCACAATAAAACGTGCGGGGAATGTACTATATACATATCGAATTCATCCGCGATTTTAACAACAAAGATATCCATAAAAAGCTGAATATTTTGCAGCCAAAAATTGGGAAACAATAAAGTTGCGAACGTGAGAGTCAATATAACGCTTCATCCCATAATAAAACACACGTGCGAACGAAATCCGTAAATCTCCGCATCAAACAAGATTACGAAACAATCAACGTCGATGGAATCAATTATAGCATTGATCCAAAACAAACACGAGTCGCCCACGCACCTAGATACTCGCGAAAAAAGATTAACACCACTTAACAATTAAGCCTCGAATATTGACGAGACCTTAAGAGACGACGCGGCCAGTGTTTTTTCCATACAAATGTATTCCAAGTGTTTTCCTAAAATGTACTTTTATTAATTAGCAGGCCACTATGTTTTTCTTTTTTTTCCTGTGTTAATTTTATAAAAAATAAGCCTCCCAATCTCACGAAATTTTCTCATTTCGAATCGTCGTCGAAATAAAACAAATCCCAAACAGATATGACAACTAGCAATTTAATATTAAAAGGAAAATATAAAGGAATATAAAGTCTTGTCATAGTCCTTTCTGTAAAACTCTAAAAATATTTGTAACAAATATTTTTAGGGTATATGGGAATACCGAAATCACTATTTCAGATGTTTTTCGCACGTATAACTAGAGCTAGCTGCAGTTGTCCTTTTTGCTTTCTTCGGTAAATATGAGTCGGGAGGTTAACCATACCCATGAAAAGTGATGTGTCAACTACTCGGGCATTCAAGACACTAAAAGATACCACTACAATAGTCAAATACCTGATCCTCAAATGTTTCGAAGCCCGCGTCGCCTCTTAACAATTAAGCCCCGAATATTGGAGAGACCTTAAATGGCTTTAAGTAAAAATACGGCCGTGTTTTCCATTAAAGGTGACAACCCTGGCGTTCAATATCTAGAGAGCTTTCATCGGCTCTTCCAAATCGCTTACGTCTCCCCCCTCGTGGCTCGCCCGCTCTCGCCTTGCGCGTGCTTGAGTGCCAAAGAGTACTGAGGGTATGTAGGTTCACACTATATGCATTATTGTTGAGTGAGTGCACACGCGTGGACAGCGCGCATTAAAAATCTTTTATCGGTATTAAGATAACATTAATTATTATGACTTCGGGTAGGATATTAAGTGTGTTATTTTTATGCATTATTTTTCTTCGTTATTTGAATATAGAATAAAATTGTGTTTTATTCTGAGAATTTATGATAATAATGTGTTAGATAATAAAAAAAATGTATGTGCTTACTTATACTAATAGGTAATATAAGGTTAAATCTTATAATGTTATACATACAGTTATTTTGTAATTTATTTTTATTTTCCGATTGTGAGATCTGGAATGTAAACTAACGTAGGTTGTGTTGCTATATCTATTTAAATATGAATACCACCTACCTACCTACTACAGCGCTGCTGTATATTAGTCCACAATATGGTTCATAGTCTCCAAGTTGTCAGGCGGGGTATTTGGCTGGATTTTCGGGAGGAATTTAAAGATAATGTAAGGGTCTCTCCATTCAAGAGATAGTATAGATATTTCTGTGTTACCTGTTTTTGTCGGGAAGCAGCATTTTGAAGGATAAGAAAGTATAATTAATGAACTGGGGCCATCTGGGCTTAGTCTTCTGAATCATGAAAGGATTGAGTGTACCGAGGACGGCATCTGATCGCTTGATATCCGTGGTATTGTTCATACTATATAGGCGACGCTTATCTCTTATTAGATGGACTGGCAGCTTGTTTTTTTATTGAAGTGACTTTTTTAATGGATGAATATGGAATGATGTACCTACCCATCTGCGCTATTAGTCTCTGCTGGCGAGGCACCAGTGAAGATTGGAACAATAAGCTTAAACTAAGGTCAGTTCGCACGTGACGAATTCGTTAGGACTGCGATGGCCTACGATTCTTTTCGGGGAGGACCACGTGGAAATCTGCCTATCTGCTACATTACTATCCCACTTATAGTTGCATATCTGATCTGTGGTTGTTCTTTGGCGGACTTTCAGAAATGTTGCCAACGTGCACTCGACGTTGTTTAAGGCAAAGTTATGGCTCACTGTGTGTCGTTCCGCCAGTTTTATGTGCGCCATCCGTTGATGTTCTTATGTCTTGTGATTTTTAACCGCCATTTTGGATTGAGATGTTCAATATTTATTGCCGATTAAAAATATTGCTACAGATAAATTTTGTATTGTAAACTTTTTCAGTTCGTAAACGGAGTGTTTTAGGTTTATTTAGGAATATTATACACTAGCATTCGCCCTTGCATCATACAGGTGTAGTATATGTATGGATGGATGTCATGTGAATATAAATTGCAATAAACCGTACAGAAGACATTTTGTAAAGTTCCGATACATTGAGATTAAGAAGAACTGACGAACTGAAGAAGAAAAAACAGACGAAAATAGTAATTTTCTTTTATATTTTTTGATATTGTATGTATTTCTTTTTTCATAAACAGGTAATTGTAGGTATGATGTATTTAGTTATGATGTATATATTTTTTTAATATTCTGTGTTGATTAATTATATAACTGTTTTATATGGTTATACAAAAGAAATAGAATAGTATACAGGCAGTAATGTATAATTTTATTGTGCTTTAAACTCGGAATCACTGAACTTTTAAAACAATATACTCTACATTAATATAAAAAAAAACCATATCTGTATTAACACAAGCGCGATAGTTATTGTTGAAAAAAAAATAGAAACCTTCAACAAAGCCATTGTGTAGAAACAGAGTAATTTGTTAAAGTGGTAATACCTCCCTCTCCCATCCGATACGATGGCTTTATCTATGTACTGTACAGGCGTGCCCCTCTTTTTCGCAAAATTGTTTGTTTCCCTTTTTTCCGAATTTGTTTATTTTCACTTTACTTTATATTTTTGACGTATATTGTAAATTTATACTATTATAACACTAAAGAGTTTGTTTGTTCGCTTTTTGAACGCTAATCTCAGGAACTACTTGCTGCAATTGAAAAATTGTTCTAGTAGCGGATAAACATTTAACAAGGATGTCTATATATCATTACGGCCCAACCAATAAGAGCTTAGTATTAATTAAAAATGTCGTAGAAACTGGTATAAAATTTTATTCTCTTAAGTGACGCATAGTAGCTAGTTTATTGTATAGATGTACTATCTATTCTGGTCTACCGGTTTAGTATACGGTAGGTATAGTTTACTTCCGATGGTCGCGAGTTCGATTCCTCGCACGCATCCATTTCTATTATTTGTATTCATAAATATGATTGTTTATATGAGTGTTTTCTGTATATATATATTATGTATGTATTTTAAAAAAATATGTCTAAGTATTTATATTTCATATTTATATATCAGGTCTAGTTCGTACCCTTAACATAAGTTATGCTTGGCTTTGGGACAAGATGACGCTGTGTGACTTGCCTGGGGTTATTATTATTATATTATTACTATTTAGATTCTATAGTTCATATCACATTTCTACTCATATTCTCATTTAACCTTGCTTATACTGTTATATTTGTAATCACAACTTCAGATTTTCAAACTAGATTTAGCAACGTTATAAGTGAACAATTGGGGCTTAATTATCTAACTCTATTATTAACAATTCTCAGATAAAAATTTACAACTTTGTAATTGTGTACGGACCGTTTCAAAGTGGAAATTGCGTATTGTACAACTTACCTTGTAACTGCAACGCTCAAGTGATTTATAAATAAATGCTAACACTTCGATTTTTATGTTTATTACAATTGAGAATTGTTACTAATCGTTGCATAAACTAAACCTCCCTTTTTTAAAATTGGGGAATTCCTTCATAGAGACTGAGTTCCAGGGGCATGAGCAGGCACTGCCGAGCTCCTATTGGCTAAAACCCCAAGGTTTACCTCTACAGCTTATTGCCGGAGCTACGGGTGTGCGCGAGCATTCTGCCACAGCTCCGGCGACGGTGATTCATCTTAATAGACGGGCCACTACTCTTCAGGAGAAGTAGCCTTGGTACATTCTCAGTGCTACGATGTCGACGGGGAAGCAGCCGCCCTCATGGCCGCTGCACCTGGCCCTTGCGGAGGGCATAAATAATTGCATGAACTAATAAAATATATCATTGAATTAACAGTCATTATATCTTAATGTAGAATATAATATTATCTATCTATTGTTAATTATTATTAAATAGATAGAGTACTCACTATTTATTAAAGTTAAATATATTTTCTAAAATGCTTAAATTTCAGTTCGGAGTTTCTGCTTAAAATGTATGTACAAGTTTTAGTAGAAAATTGATACGCAAAGCAAATATGTATATTATCATGCTAGTATAATATCTTTTAATAAACTATTATACTTTGTATTCTCTGTATTTTGTTAAAACGTTACCTTTTTTCGGAATTAAACGTGTTGCGTTAACACTAATTAATAATCTTAGAAAATCCCGGCTTTCCATTTAAACTGTAAAAAACACTCATGCACCTACCTTCACCTCCATGTTATTAGCTAACCATGCTCGGGATGAATCGTGCTAAAATCATATAATGTTTAACCTACATCAAGCCCCGATAAAGCTGTCAGCATCACGCTTTGCCGTCTGTTCTGTCATTACATCTAAAAACAGGATCCCTGGCTTTTGCTAAAAGCCACCCAATGAGATGTGACACTTTGTGATGATGTCACCAAAGGAATTTGAAGGTTTGCCCGTCAATATTATCCTGAGATGTTTCTCTCAGCTGTTGATATTGATTGCTATGTTTATAACCAATAGTGTTTACTTGTAGACAATGTACAAACAAATCCTTTAATTGGATCATTCATAAGTAATATATCCAGTTAAAATAGTTAACCATAACCATATTTTTAATACTTTAAATGGCTGGCTACACCGTTTAACCTGATATATAAACTTATTTTTGCATTTGTTAAAGTTAGTATTTCTTACTTTGTATTCATTATTATTAATACCTGTAATTGATTATTAAATAATAATAATACACTATTGTATAAGAGAGGAAATATATAAAAGAATAACAATAATAATGCTAGTAAATAGGTACATCTATTGCAGACAGCATTACAAAAATATGTTTGTCCTTTTTATTCATATACAATGTCTAATATATTGTCTCATTGTGCAATAAGCCACAATAACAAACAAACTTGAATACTGTAGTTGAGTATATTGTCATAGAATATGAAGTATGCACCAAACTCGTAGAATGAGAGAATTATCACGCAAGTCCGGTACAATGGTCCAATAGCAATGAACGTGTAAATTAATAGGACACATCTGTTCTCCGTTTAAGCAGGGTTAGCTAGGGATGCTCAAAGCTAGATATCATCCGATCAATAGATATAAAAAAATATTAGTACTAGTTGTGGCCCAGTGGTCGAATGGTGGCCCAGTGACCAGAATAAAAAATACAAAAAGATCTTTATCCAACCAACAAATAAAACAAAATTTATATTTTAACAATAAACTATAGAGTATAAATGCATGTGTATATCAAATTTAATTTATTTTTATGGTTATTTAAAAAAAAATAGCATTCTGTACTCCTTCATTACTACTCACTATAAATGTACGAAACTTCATACTCCTGCGCAATATTTGCAGAAAAATAGATGGATGGACTATGTGAAAGATAATATGCATGAAAAGATAGTAAGTCGAGATATTGCGACTAATAGGCGACCCCAAATGAGGACATAAAGGCAAAGTAATAACCATGTAGTTGAATGCACCAATCCGAGGTAGTTATATAAAATTGTATCACCAATGATAGTTCATCTTAACGCTAGATTTGTAATGTTGTAGGCAGAGAGAATGAAGTGGCAATAGCCTATATGATATTTCGTCTTTTTACTTGAATTATTCAATGACGTAAATATGCGTCCTGAACGGATGTACAAAAAATATAAACGGTTAGGTATATCACAAATAGATATAATGTGAGACAATGTTAGAATATAATGTCATAATCATAACTTAATTTAGAATTCAAGTCTGCGAAAGGCCGTTCACTGTTGTAATACAAATGACAGTTTGAAATAAATTTGCAAACACCATAATGTTAAAAATAGTCATCAATTCATACGCAGATCTTGTGATAAATTTCACACTTAAGATATACGCAAATATGCAAAACAGCTCAATTGAGTTATAGGAAGTTATTGTTGATATTGTTAATTTTTTTACAAATCGTAACAACGGTTCTAATATCGTTATTTTACAATTTCTTACTGTTGGTACTTTGTATTCATATAAAACATGTAAAATTTTATATCTTTTGTTTTAGTACCAGCCAAGTTATCCGTTGTGGTGATAAAATCAAAAAATCTATTAGTGTTTAAAATAATGGTCTATTATTATATGTTTTATCATTATATTAATACCTGAAGCAAATAATTTGTATCCCTTTTTACGTAAAATGGTGCAAACGGAGGAGTATGAAATTGAGCACACTTATTTTATATCTGAAGGAGTGGAGAATTCTAATATTTAAAAAAATGCATAAAAAATACATTAATTCAATAAAAATAAAAACATTTCACATACCACCATGTATTTGATACACACATGCATAGAAATAACTTTGACATTCCTGAACAATGTTCAAACTTGTAATTTGAATTAATTATGGTCGAATTTCGACTTTTGGGCGACCACTAGTAAATGTAAAATAAAATATATTAATATAGTCAGAGCAATTTTCACTTCTTGTACAACTTTTAATTACAATAAAGAATAATAACAAAATGATTAGATTAGTTAGGCGGCAACCCTATGCGGCCCAAACAGTTTTTACGCAGTGCCGACGGGCGCAGCACCACCAGCAAGCCATAATCCCCAATCTAGTAAGTAAACAAGATTGTTTGCTTCCACTCAACACCGTACCTGGAGTTCTCGTAACCCTCGAACGCTCTTTTCGTCGAATAACCGCGTAAATTTAATGTACACACTGCGTATTTTCGTTTATGGTCGTTACCTTAATTTTTTCGAAGTGGCATTTTTTTTTTATTTTAATAAATGCAAAGAACAATAAAAACTGTGATTAGGCACTGTATGACTGCGTATCTTGTCATAACACAGTTTTTACTCGCATATACTGGGAGGTAGCTTTCTTAATATGGTACTTTAAAAAAAAATGTTTCAGGAATGTTTATTTTAAAAATATCTTATGTAATATTTTGAATAAATATTTACTGATCTATTTTAATTATTTAGTATATAATGATGCATTTGAAAAGAGTGCAGCAGAGTTTTTGTCAGCTATTCTTGGATCGAACTACTTGAAGAACTGACGACAGATTTTGTTTTATGTTAATTATCCAGGTTTATTTATTTTTAATTGAAAAATACAAATTAACTAAAAATTGAAATTGCTCTAAGCAAACGTACAAATATCTAACAATATGTTTTTTTTTGTTTTCAGGTACTGTTTGTTTGCTGGAAAATCTAATATACGTATTGACAATACTAACAGTATAAAATCAAGGTACATATGATGTATTTAAGTTCTATTTAGTTAGAATAAGTATATTTAAAGAGCTTAATTAAATTCTGTGAAATATACAGTTTCTAATAATGCCATAAAGTTACATATGCCATTAATTATATCAAAAATACTATCAAATACTTACTTTAATGCCTAAAATTTAGGATCGAAAATTGTACTACATTTGAAGCACATTCTGTCGAGAAATATATTTCCTAATATATATAATTTCTTTCTTAATATATATGGCAACCTCAGTGGTCTAGCGGTGTTAAACCACTTACTTTCAGTAGTCGCAGCTTCAATTCCTCTCACGATGGAAACAGTTATATTCATAAATGTTGTATTAGTATTTGAAAAAAAAAGTATTACTATCAGTTGTCTAGTAACACCATCTCTGCTTACCTTGGGACTGTATTGCTTTCTATAAATTGTTTGTTTTATTAATATATTTCAATCCGATTACTATTTGAAGGCAATTCGATTAGATTCAATCACGATTTAATAAATAATCCTGCTGACTGTCATATTGATCAAAATGACCATTATTATGAATAAATAAAGTAATAAAAAATTCATTGTCAACCAACCGTGCAAACTACTATGAAAGCAACAATCATAGTAATGTGTCTATTAGTGCGCAGGAGTTCTAACGGGCCTTCACACGAGGGTCAAATTAAAAAGCCATCAGAAACGTATTACTGACACCTCTCATGCCCTGCCTATCCATAATCTGCTTTACGACTTTCGACCTTCTCACCTCGCTATAGGAATTAACTATAACGACTATACCACTCGAACATCCACAAGGACACTCTCCAAGCAATTTTAAACTTAAGTTCTCTTTAATAATGTTGATATTGGTTTGCGGTCCGTAATCCCGGAAACGTGTTGGCCAGAGGTCCCAAAACAGGTTTCGTTTTATGTTTTTCTGTGAGTGCATATCATGGGTTCAAAAGCGGCGATCTTGGTGTGTTTTCTATAAAGATTTTTGTGGATATCGACAGTAATATTACTTTAACGATAAACTACAGGACGTACAAATTACTCTACAATAACATTATTTATTGCAGATAGATAGCACTTAATAATTAGTACTACGAGTAATGTCTTCGTCATTTTTCTGTAAGATAACCTTTGTCATGTTACAATGATAATATCACCCTACGACACTGGATACTATCAATCGCCAGTCAGTCAGTCCGTCAGTCTATCGGTGATAAATAAAATATGTTATTATTACTTAGGTTTTCGTCACTAGACGACTAACTGTTGAAGGAAAGTAGTGGTTTTTTTATATAATTAAATCATAAATAGTAACCGTCGTTTCATTTCAGAGATAAGAGAATTGACTGTCATTTATGCTCTATATAATTCAATATTTCTATATAATCATGTCTTTGAATCACCATACAAATTCCCATTCATTATTTCAGAACCTTCTAGATAATATATATGTATATTTTTGGTATAAGAAGCCTATGACAGTACACTTGATATA